TATATATATATATATACAAATAAATTCTTATATTTCAGTAATTCTTCTTAAAATATGAAACAGTAAACAAAGAAATATGGAAAACAACATTCTTTACTACTTACAATTGTAAAGAAGTTTGTACTTGCTTGCTGTACCTTGCATGCTAAACATTGCTGAATTTTGCACATAGAGGATGTAAAACAAAATAACTTTTTTAGGTTTTATATATGCATTTTGAAATAAAAAATTATAAATTATTTTATCAATATCACAGAATTCCACTGTAATTTAACAGGTTTACTAACTAAACTGTATTTGGGTCTTAAAAAATATTGTTTCTCGAACACTGTTTTCACTTTCCCTTCCCTCCGAAACTGGAGACAAAAGACTAAGCTGGGAGAAATACACACCTTGAAAAGGCTGAGAGAACCACGTGGGGAAAATTGTGAGCTTTTGACTGGATATAAACACACGATGAAGCAGGTGTATGTAAGTAAGTATTTCCAAAAATAGAAGAGGTGGGCAGAGGAGGTTTTTATTTTATACTCTAGCTTGTCTAATGCATAAGAAATACAGACTTTGTATTTGGACATCACAAATGTCTAATTTGAACCAAAGCTGCATTCAACACACCACGTAATATTTAGGAATTTTGTTTTAATATATATTTTTAAATTCATTTAACTAATATATATTAATGAAATTTGAATTATAATCTACAATTTGATAGGAAACTTACTGACATACATTTATAAAATAGTAGTTCAATAAACTTTTGAGCACAAGTCTATAAATGTAATGACATGCCCTTCGACCCCTGACCATAGAAAATACCATAATGATAGGGTTAAGGAAAGAAAGAAAATCTAAAAAGAAGAATTTAAAGCAGAGGGGCATCATGTGGCACAGAGAATTGATGATTGAGAATTTATTCAAATATTTTCTTTTCAAATTAAGAAACTAAAACTTATTTTATATTAAAATTTGAATTATAAAGTACATACTGATGCCAAATTTATTGATATACATTGAAAATAATAAAGTTATTTAATTAGATTTTGAATGTAACTGTAAAACAAACTTTGACCCCATCATGTACACATTGGGTTAATGTAAAAATGTTTTCAAAACTTCAGAAGTATTGGATTGTATAGAATTAAAATAAGTCTCTTACATTTAATTACTTTTCTTTTCTATATCAAAATACCTTGTTTTTGGATTCTGTGGATCTGGCTGACAGTTTCCTGGATTATGGCACACTTTTCTGGCTTGACAGACAAAGAACTCATGTCAGCTAAACTAGCAGAAATGAGTTCTGCTAGCTCTCCAAAGCATATGCTCTCTTGTAGTCTGTCATTAAGGCACTTGTTCCTGGAAAATCAATTTTTGTTTCACAAGGGCAAGGCAAAAACCACTTGTCTAGACATTTTCTGTCCATAAATAAATGGAGATTATTAATTACTGAAACAGCTAATCATATTGCACATTAAATTAAATAAGCCCAAAAATATTGTAATGTTTCATTTTCATTCTGAAAAATATTTCCTCACTATATAATCAATTGAGAGAACAGTTTGTTGCAAAGTTTTCAAGTTTAAGCATAAAGTTGAATATGGTACAGCTAATTGCATGCAAAATGTCAAAGATATAGCACACACTATATTGTAATCTGTGGTTGTAAGCAAACTTACAAGCATTTAGCAAAACACAGTATTATACACAATGTTAACATTTTTAAGACTAAAACAAAACAAAGTTCCTACAGACACGTTACTCAAACATTTTCAAATTTTATATCACATTGATGTGCAATTTTACATCATACATCAGTCCAATAACTCATTGTAGACCTATGGTTTATGAATTAATGGTATACTGCACTGATCAACTCTAAAGCAGCTACTTACATATCATCATCATCCATGTTGTGTACTCCATGAGATTAACTGTGTAGTCAGTGTGAATATTTAAGTAATAAAAATCACAATATCCCAAGTAATTATGTAAAATAAGACACAAATGCGACATTAAACAAAGAAATGTAGGACAAATTGTTTATCTGTTAAGTCCACAATTAAAGATTATTATTTGAGGATTTTTTCTTATTTTTGACTTTTATTTTTGTAAATTCTAGTCTTCTTGGAGCCACAATGATGGTTTCTAGTTTTTATATGCTCAATGTACTATTACTGAATATTTCATAAGAAATAAACTCATTCTTTTCTCTTTAATCAATATCAAAAATATTCCATGGTCTCCTTAATATACTGTTGGTAAAAGCAATATATTTTTTTTTATCTTAACTTATGATTTTAATTATATACAAAACAGAAAGCAGGGCTATAAAAAATTATCACATGGGCACAATGTATGCTTAAGATTTCTCTCAGAGACAATCATTACTTTTTCAAAATATAAAAACAGCATTAACTACAACAAGACAATATGACCATGTTACAAAACAATGTTTTGGGGCAACATGGGACCTATTGGTCCATCTCGGCTGTTCCATTCTCTGAACTAAATTAAAACAATTTTTTAAAATTCTTAAAGCTAGCTCTTATCATTCATAAACTTATCAAGCTTTTTCTTAAATTCATTTAAATTTACTGCCTCTACAACATTCAAAGGAAACCCATTCTAAAGGCCCACCACCCTGTTAGAAAAATGAAACTGTCTTAGCTGAAGATGACTACTACCCTGCCACAATTTATATTTGTGTCCCCTCGTCCTACTACTCTCACTTTTATATATGAAAAAAGATTATACATCAACACTATCAATTCCCTTTACAATCTTAAACACTTCAATTACATCCCCCCAAACTCTTCTTTTTTTCAAGAGAAAACTATGAGAGATTTCAGCTTCTCCTCATATGATAACCTCTCCATCCCCAGCACCATTCTAGTAGTCCTTCTATGAACCCTTTACAACAATTCAATGTCTTTCCTAAGGTAAGGAGTCCAAGACTTAACATAATATTCCAAATGTGGCCTAACCAGTGACCCATACAATGAAACTATAATCTCTTTAGATTTGTATTCAATATTTCTGTAGATACAACCTAAAATCCTATTTGCACTACCAATAGCAAAAGCACACTGCTTGGATGGCTTTAGAGACTGACTGACTATTACACCAAGATCCCTTTCCTTCATAATACTGTTAAGGTTATTCCTATCCAAATTATACTTATAATTCAAGTTATGATAACCCACTCGCATTATCTTCCATTTATTATAATTAAACCCATCTGCCATTTATTTGACCAACTCACTAAATGATCTAAATCCTTTTGTCAATCAGTAGCACTCTCTTCTCAGCTAGCAACACCCAAGACCTTAATATCATCTGCAAATTTAAGTAAGTTATTGACTATTCCTTCATCTATGTCATTGAGGTAAATCAAAAAGAGCAAAGGTCCTAAGACTGAGCCCTGAGGTACCCCACTTGTGACACTAATCCAGTTTTATTGAACTCCATTTGTAACAACCCTCTGCTTTTTTCCATCCAGCCACTCTTCTATCCAATTTTCAACTTATTCCTCACACTTAAAAGATATTTTTTACGAGTCTTTTATGTAGCACCTTGTCAAATACTTTCTAAAATTCAAAAAAACCAAATCTACACCCTTACCCTCATCTACATAAGCAGTAACCTTCTCAAAGAATGTCAAAAAATTTGTAAGACAAAATTTTCCCATGTTCTAAATTTTGTTAAATGACTTTGCAAAACATCTTTTAACAGACTTTGCAAAACTTTTCCCACATCTGATGTAAATTTAATGGGCCTATAATTATTGGGACAATTTTTATCACCTCCCTTGAAAAGAGGAGTTACATTAGCTAACTTCCAATCCTCTGGTACCTGCCCACTATTTAAAAACCAACAAAAACTAGTAGTAAGTGGCTCACATATCCAATCTTTAACCTCCTTCCAAACCCTTGGGGAAATATTATTAGGAGCCTTGTTGTTCTTTAAACTTCCAAATTTTTTCTTAACCAGCTCAGAATTAATGCAGTCATCTTATTTGATCTCATTTCCATTTATCAACTATTCAAGACATGGAATAGTGCTTAAGTCTTCAATAGTAAAAACCGAAAAAAAAAAAAGCAAAATTTAACAACCCAGCCATTTCATAATCATCAGATACTAGCCTTCTTTTATCATCCCTCGAGGGTCCTACCCCCATCCTAACATTTTGTTTACCCTTAATGTATTTAAAGTAATCCTTACTGTTAATTTTTACATTTTCAGTCAACCTGTTCTCGCACATTCTTTTTGATGTCCTAATTTCCTGTTTCACCAACTTTTTTGATCTTCTAAATTTCTTGTCATACCAGTCAATTTATGATACTTTTCTTTAATTTTATCTTTTATACCCTTTGTGAACTAACTTGGTTTTTTAATTGCAGCCACCCTTTTCTTTCTGTAAGGAATATGTTTACTTTGAATATTTAAAAAATTTCCACATCTGATCAGTGTCTCCAAATAACACTTCACAACAGATAATTCCTGTCACATCTCCTCAAATCTTTTTTTTCAAGTTTGTAACCAAAATATCATTACTCCTTATCTCTATATTCAGCAAAACATCAAATCTAATAGAGCAATGATCACTTGCACCCAGAGGTTCCCCAATTTCCACCCTATCAATCATTTCTATAGTTGAAGTTAACAATAAACCTAAAATAGCATTGGTTCCTTGACTAATTGGTGAAGAACGCCATCGTGAACAGTTTCCATAAACCTTTCTCCTTCTTGGTTTGCTTCTATCATTTCCCAGTCTATATGCCTGAAATTAAAATCACCCATAATTATAACTTCATTAAATCTTAATCTCATTGTAGAGTTTCTCACTAATTTCATCAGTATCTTTTTCCCTTTATATCCACTATTAGAAACTCAATTGGATTCATTCTCCTTGCTATTATCTATTAAATAGCCTGTAATCCTGTATTTCAAAGAAACTTCTGTCATTAAAATCATCTACGTTTAATCATGTTTAAGTTATTCTCATTATATCAAAATCCTCCATCCCTACCAGTGCTCTAAGGTCATCTATTTTATTTCTTATACTTCTAGCATTACAATAGTAACAATTAAGCCTATCCTTATAACTACTTCTATACTCATTTCTTATACGAAACTTTTCTCTGCCTCTTATTCTTTTTGCATTTAGTTTTTCCTGGTCCTCACCACTGTCTAGTTCTAGTTTAAAACTTCCCTTACAGACGAGTTAATAGCCTTTGCAAACAAGCCAGCACCTATCCTATTTAAATGTAAACCATCTATTCCACTGAACTGATCCCACAAGTTCAAACAGCCAATCTGCTCATCCTTACATATTAACCTAAGCCTAGCATTTAGCCCTAGTGACCTACTTATAACTTTAACCCCACACTACTGTTAATACACCATTAGTCCTAGAAAAACTAAAAGGCTTCCTTTGTTTTATCTCTGAACAAAGCAAACATCATCATCACTGTTAAACAAACATTGTAGTAATACCATATAGAAAGCAGAGTTGTCCATATGCTCAGTGTCTTAATGTTTCAAGTTGTCATGAAGAACTGGTTGAAATAATTTCAATGAAATGTGGTAAAGAAACTTGGGAATGCCATTCATACATCAATCATGTTTAAATGCATAAGTAATGAGATGAAAGGTTAATATTTGACAGCCAATGCCAAATCCTATGCACAGCATGGTTACTTTGGATGAACAGTTCATGTGTTACAACTATTTAAATTTTCTCTTTTTGCTACTGCTTTGGTGCATATGTAGGAAATTTTCATCAACCATATTCAGTTAATTTAAATAGAGAATGATGCAGATGCATGTTTTTCCACCATTCCTGTGAAACCAATAAAATAAATATACTACAAGGCTCAGATACCTTTTCTATTCAGTAAACATTGCAGCAGAATCAACTAAGTAAACTATTAAACCTAGTATAAAATGTTAAATACAGACATTGAAACACCACCTTAAAAAAGTAAAAAATAATTCTGAAACCATGCCAGGAAACTTATCTACATGTACCTGTTTCAGGCATATCCTATAACCAACTACTTTACACATTAATCACATTTTACATATCTGTTTAAGCAGGAGAAATAAAATGCCTAAACCTATACCCAAGCTGAAAGCAGTAAAGTGTATTACTTACAGAGTTAACTGTTGTAGATTATCTGTTGTGCTACTCTTCTCAACTGTGGCATTAGATGCAAGGCTCATGTTAGGATACAGAAGAATAAATACATCACAAGAGCTGATCCTGCTAACAAAGTAGAGAAAATATTACATTTTAATCTAATATATGTATGTATGTATGTATGTATGTATCTATCTATCTATACAAACCAGAAAATTATGTGACAACCACAGTACATATAGTCATTGTGAAATGGCATTTAGCAGAACTGCATTTTGACATTTTGTAGTAGTATGATGCTACTGAAAAATTTTTATTGGAAAAAGTATGTAACAGCCCTGTCTGACACAAAATATTCATACACTCAGATCATAAATGTGTGTTCAGATCAGGGATTTAGAATTTCTAAAATGGGGATAACCCTAGTTAATGGAATTTGAAAACCAAGGAATATGGATCAACCTGGAGCATCAGAGTCATTCAGAAATAGACATACAATAAGTTACACTCTAGCCATGATCAATAAGATGTGGTATCTTTAGTAGATGAGAATTCACAAACACAAAATTCATTGGAAAAAGCCATCAATGTGCCCTTACAACAGTAAGCAACATAAACATGAAAGACCTCCATCTGGAAAATGTAACAAAAGTAACATGTACATAAGTTATTTCCATGATATACCCATTCCACTGTGACATACCTCAAGCAATTGGAGAGAAAAAAAATGTGTAGCCATACTACTCCATGTAAAAGCACAATGATCAAGTGACAAAACACAGCTATGGTTTTCTTTGCAACTGGAATATTGAAATAGGTGCATGGAAATAAGTTTTCCTTATTACACTAGATAGATTATGGAAAACCAGCAGGGAGGAATAGTGAGATTAGGACCTGAAAGACTTATGATAGAGCATTCTGCAAAGGAAAAAATAACGCAACACTACTATCAAGATCACAGTCATCAGATCAAGCATGACAGGATATGGTGACATGGAATTAAACATGTATTAATGCTCCAAAATCATTTTAATATGATGTACTCAACTTCTTTATATCT